GGAATCTGAAAAGGAGAAGTTTCTTCATATCCTTCATAATACAGACGATGACGACAGTACCTTCATCCATCGTCGACTAAGTCTTTGTTTAAAAATGCCATGTTCTGATCCCTCCTTCTATAGCCTTCCAAATTCTTATGAGCCTACAAGATCGGCATCACTTGCTCGGACACTTCTATATACTGGTAGTCAATTAATCCCATCACGTGCCATCTTGGGATTGAGATTGCTTTGTAGAGATTGAAGACCAAACAAAAAGTAATTTTATTAAAAAAAATATTATACAATATAAGCACACTCCTCTCTTTTATCAATGGAAGCATCACAAAATAATATATAAATCCACTCACTCACTCTCTCCACTATTGCCACTCAGCTTTCTCAGTTTCTTTATTTCTCTTCTTCCCACACCTCTCTCCACTTTTCTCTACTTTACTGTCTCTATCTATGCTCACCACTCTCTTCCTCTCACACCTTATTTTCTTTCCTCACGCACACACATACATTCAGCCAACACAGATATATAGGCAAAATATGGCGGTGGAGTTTACTGCCTACATTTTTCTGTAGAATTCTTCCATTGGCTTCACAATTCTATTCTCTAGATTTTTCATGAATGGTGATGGTCTTCATTTCCAGCAAGTAATGAGTCTCTAGAATATTCTACGTGCTTAAGTCTAGCAAATTCTAAATATTTAAAGTTGGTGATGATTTCTTCATGCTAAGGGTCTTGCATATGATCGAAGTTTTACTTTTTACTTTTCCAATTGAGATAGTTAAACTAGTTAATTTGAGGTGCCTTGCTTTTTCCTATCATGGGGAGATTCCTTCATCAATATCTAAGCTTTGGAATCTTCAGACCTTGATACTTCGTCCCTTAGTTAAAAGCTTTGCTCTGTTTCCAAGACCTCTACCACTGGAAATCTGGATGTTGCCAAGGTTAAGGCATCTCAGGTTCAATGTATGGTACTTGTCTGAACCTCCTTGTGAGCCAGTTGGCTGGGGAAATTCTGCTCTTCTAGCAAACCTTCAAACACTTTCGGAGGTGAGTGCTTCTTTCTGTATGAAGGAGGTCCTTCAACAAGTTCCTAATCTAAAGAAATTAGGAATTTGGATGGAAAAATGGGAATCTGCATCCTTCTATGTTAACAATCTCGTCTATCTACAACAACTTGGAGTATTGAAATGCCGTGTTACTAAGCTCTCTTTGGTACCTTAGGTTTTCTCTCCTGTGCAGCTTGTTTTTCCCCCGACCCTTAAAGAGTTAACTTTGAGTGATTGCAGAATTCCTTGGGAAGATATGTCAGTCGTTGGGTCGTTGCAAAATCTTGAAGTGCTCAAATTGAGAGATTATGCCTTCGTAGGCTCAGAGTGGGAACCGGTGGATGGCGAATTGTGTCAACTAAAAATCCTGCTAATTGATGAAACAGATTTGATGCACTGGAGAGCAGATAGTACTCACTTCCCAAGCCTTCAGAAGCACATCGTTTTCCACTGCTGGAAGCTGGAAGAGATCCTATCGGGTATTGGAGACATACCAACTCTGGAAATGATTGAGATGGACAACTCGAGCCATTCTGCAGTAAATTCGGCAGAAGAACTTCTTGAGGAACAGCAGTCCTTAGGGAATGACAGACTTAAACTTGGTTTCTGTGAATCATAAAGCATGGTATCACCTTCTATTGTTAACTTTCCTCCTCTCGGCTTGTTTAAAAAGCTAGAGTATTATTTTTGCGTAAAACTATCTTTTATCTACAATGTGACAGACACATAGCGCTTGTATCTCTTTATGAAGCAATGCATCATCAATTTGTATGACCTGTATAGTCCCATCAACATTTAATAATGTGTATATTCTTGGTTCAGGATCTTACGCTTTGCAAAATATGTTAAACACGTCAGCCAGCCCCTATTGTCTGTTAACAGAGATTTAGCGAGCCTTTTACATTAGAATGGACACATTTTTAGACCCCATTGCATTATATTTCAAATCATCTGCAATTTCTTCTGATTTATGCTCGGCTACTTGTCTAACCACATTTTACAATTTTGCTTTTGTTTCTAGCTATATCAAAATCTTCTGCAACCTAATATAGAATCCCACGTCGAAATAGTTCCAGTACTATAAAATTTCACATAAAAGAATCACTAGAAATTTTTTATTGACAAGATCATTAATATGATGACAAAAGTTTGCTTGTATGTATGTGTGTGTGTGTGTGTGTGTATATATTTATTTATTTATTGATATTTGAATCACGAGGACATATTCCAACGAATTAACATGTTTTTGCGTTTGACAGGATCAGGACAGATGCATTTATCAGAACTGTGGATTATATGATTGTTGGAGGCATAGGTATAACTCTGTTGGAAATTCGAATGCTTAATGGACTTGAGAATTCACATGTACTGCGTGCACCTGGCACGGGCTGCCAGGAAAAGTAGCCTGGTTCAATTTATACCTTTGTTGTGTTTTACTACTCTTTTGTTATCAAGTCAATTTTTGTGGCGACTCCTTTGATTTTTAGTGAATCAAAATTCCTTGTTTCCTTGTAAACAAAGTTCACTATTTTCTAATATTTTGTCTTCATTATTTATCTGGTTTTACTATTCTTATAAGTAGGTACAGTGTAAATCTATCAGTCCATAGTTGCTACAAGAGAAAACTCTAGAGAAGAAGTTATTGCACAATATCAACCACATTCCTGATTCCTGAAATTTATGTCTGAAGCAATAGAGAGCCAATGAAATCCCTTTTCCTGCCTTCAGAGCCTACGTCTCTTGTTTATGTAATTCATCTTCCCTCGTCCATCTGATGCAGGAAATAGTGTTAGAAATGAGTGAGCCGACATAACTTCCACATATGCATATATGGTCTTGTTAATCCTTCAGCTAGTTTCAATACTTCAAAAATTAAAAATCAACACGTTAAAACAGTTTGCTTTGTTAAATTGAAATAGTTTAAGCCTATACAAAATGATATCTAACATTATTATGTTAATAATCAAGTTCAATTTAAGTTAAATTTTAAAATTAAATAAATGATAAGATGGAGATGGATATTACATTTAGTTGGTATTCAAAATCAAATCAGTCAATTAGATATACATTTGGAAAATTAACATTTTTTTCTGTACTACTATGCCACATTGGAAGTTCATAAAACTATTTGAGAGAAGCTTATCTATAAAAGACATTATCATACATTGAAAGGTTATAAAATCATTTGAGAGAAGTGTATCTATAAAAAGAGTATGTTATCCAAAAGATTTTGCCAACTTTTGTATTTGGTAAGCTCAACTATTAATAGAGACAGGCAAAGTGAAGAAGCCTATGCAAGGTTGCAGCAATAACTTAAGGGAAAATTGCATTGGAGGTACCAAATCTTTCGTTTATTAGTAGATTTAATTCAGACTTTTCATTTATGCCATCTAGGATACCAATTCTTTCAAAAACTCGCAGTAGAAATCCAAATGGATGGAAACCGTTAATTTAACTCTTAGTTGAAAAAATTTAATATTGACCATAAATTTGACTAATTTTAAAAGGATAAGATGGTACCTGTACATTTTTCAACAAAAAAAAAAAATTAAAATACATTAATAATTAAATTAGAAAAAAAAAACTATTTTACTTCTTCTCCACTCACCCCTCACACCCGCCCACCCCAAAACCAAAACTCACCAAAATTGGCACCCGTATTTGCAGTGTTTTAAAACACATAAAGTGTGATTAGGAGTGGACGTCAAGTTTCAAACTCTACAAGCCTAGAAGAGCTTAGATGAATAAAAATATCTTCTTATTTTTAATATTAGTTTAAGTTTTTAATCATTCTAAAAACTATTTAATAGTTAAAATAATACATACCAAGCATTTAAAATTATAAAATACTATCTTTACATAATAATTCCTACAATTAGTCAATTATATAAAATTTTCTATTTTTCGAAATGTAAAATTTAAACTATTTTTTTATAATTTCAACTTTCAACTAGACAAGTCATACTTACTAAATTTATAGAAATTTCATGCATATTATCAAAGTTTTTAACAAAAAGATAAATCTCAAAATCATAATTATATCATATAGATAGTACTTTAATTTATGTCCTATCTAACACTTATCAAATAAAGTCATTTTTGACTTCTGTATAGATAAAGTCATTTAAAACTTGAAACAAAGTGAAATAAAATGGTTTTAGTAAAAGGAAAAAAATTTAATAAACTAAAGTAAAATAAAAAGATTTTAAAAGAAAAAAAATGATAATAAATCACGTCTAGGCAAGTTGCTTATTAAGTGGTTGACCATTTAATTTCTCGCTTAATATTAAGGCGAGGAGTTTCGTCCGCGCTTAGACGCTGTCTAAGCCTATTTTTTAGGACACTGCTTACTTGTGTGTAAAAATTTTACCATTTTGTTCTGTAATTGTTGAATGGCCCCCTGAAAGGCCACTAATTTGCAATATATTTTTGACGTAACGAAATGGATTAAGTAGAAATCATGACAAAGTTGAATCTAATTTTTTCAATTGTAGTATTTAAAGGTTTACGATTGCAAGCCCCTAATTTTAACTTTCGATTCAATAAAATTCCTACCTTCTTCCCTTTTTAGGCTTGAACCTCTTTTTAATTGCAGTTTTACTTCTTCTTTTTTATTTTTTGTACAATTAAATCCTTCACATTCAAAAATCATTAAATATCGATTTGATGCAAGTTTAAAAGTTTGTAATTTAGTATTGAAACTTTTCAATTGTTGAATTTAACTCACGAACTTATGAATTTCTTCTGAATGCTCTATTTATTCTTCTAATTGATCATGTGCACTCCGATTAATCTTAAATTTCCCTAAATCAAATCCATTTATAACTCCAATTTCACCTTTTTCATGCCAATGGCATATAAGTTGAGAAATTTCCTAAAACTAAAATTACTTACACTAATTAACTAGATATTCGCTTAGTCTAGTAATAAAGAAATAAAAATAGAAGTCCGAATCAATGCATAAAATGCAGTTAACCTCTATAAGTTATAACCTCCTAATAGTAATAAAACGGCCTTGCTATATGTACACCGAGCTGTAAGGCTCGGTTATTGCATCTCACTTCGATGTTCGTGCATGGGCAACGGTATCACAAAATTATCATGTACAAGAAGTACTCAGTCGCCTTCTGCATTCCATAAGAGGCTTCAAACAAGAATCAAGCCAAGATAGTGCAGAAAAATTAGCTGAGAATCTATACAAGTGTTTGAAGGACAAGAGATACCTCATTGTCCTGGACGATGTGTGGGATGGAGAGATTGTGTTAAAAGTCAAAAGTTTGCTTCCTCATGACAGTAATGGAAGCCGGATCTTGTTAACCAGTCGACTAGAAAATGTTGCTGAGTATGCTGATCCTAATTCGATCATTCTCCAAATGAGCTTTCTCTATACCGATGAGTGTTGGGGGCTACTGCGTGGGTTGGTATTTGGTGAAGAATGTTGTCCTCCTGAATTGGAGGAATTAGGTAGAAAGATTGCACATCATTGCAGAGGACTTCCACTTTCAATTGTCCTGATAGGTGGTCTCCTATACAAAGCCGAGAGGACAAGAGAATACTGGAGTTATGTTGAACATAATATTAATGCAGAACATTATGGGTATTTCTCTATCCAGGGCATTATATCTTTCTACTATTACCAGTTGCCCCATCATTTGAGAGCATGTTTTCTTTATATGGGTGTTCTCCCTGAAGATTACGAGATCCGTAGATCCAAACTCATAAAATTATGGGTTGCCAATAGATTTATAAAGCCAGAAAGATCGAAAAGCTTGGAAGAGGTGGCAGAGGAGTATCTAAAAGACCTTATTGATAGAAATCTGATTATGGTTCGTGAGTTTAATTATAGTGGTGAAATCAAAACCTGCTGCATCCATGATGCCTTGAGGGAATTCTGCCAGATGAAAACTAAGGAGAAGTTTAATTCGGATGATGAGAATCTTACAGAAGTCCATGACAATCTTCGACACATTAGTATTCTCTCAGATTTGAAGAATCAAATCCCCAAATTTGATCTTGCAGACAATCTTGATTTACGTATCCGCTCTGTTACATATTTTTTTGGCAATAGCCCACATGGTACATATTTTGTCAAGAGTTTTCGGCTGCTGAGGGTATTGGATGCACTCACAATATGGTTTGACGAGTTTCCTATCGGAATAGTTGAACTGGAGACTTTGAGGTTTATTGCTTTGACTTATTGGGCAAAGCATAGGATTCCTTCGTCAATATCCAAACTTCGCAATCTGGAGACTTTAATTGTTAATCCAGGGAAACTGAGATCCATCTTTAATACATCATTCCTACCGCTGGAAATCTGGAAGATGTCACGATTGAGGCATCTCTTGTTCGTGATAAGTTTCTTGCCTTATCCTACTGATGCACTGAATGGGGGAACTTTTGCACCCTTGGAAAACCTACAAACACTTACCAATGTTATAAACTTCAGATGGACAAAGGAGGTCATTCAAATGATGCCAAACCTGAAGAAATTGGTAATTTCGTACGAGCATGATGGGCGAACTGAGTGGTCATCCTATTGTTTTGACAATTTTGTCCATCTTCTTCAACTTGAAGTTTTGAAATGCTTCTTTTTTGGGAAGTCTTATATAAAATATCAGGATCCTCTACCAGTGAACTTTGCTTTCCCACAAAAACTCAGAAGGTTAACTTTGAGTGGCTGCAGACTATCTTGGAAAATTATGACTGTTGTTGGTTCGTTGTCCAACCTCGAAGTGCTGAAACTCAAATACCATGCCTTCGAAGGCCCTGTTTGGGAATCAAATGATGGGGAATTTCGTCGATTAAAATTGCTGCTCATACACATGACTGATCTGGAGCATTGGAAAGTTGATGAAATGCACTTCCCAAGTCTTGAGCGCCTCAGTCTTCAGTACTGCTACAACCTGGTGGAGATCCCTTCTGGAATTGGAAAAATACCAACTCTTCAAAAAATCGAGTTGTGTGAATGTAGCACATTTGTTGTGACTTCAGCAAAGTTCATAGAAGAAGAAAAAATACGCTTGGGAAATAATGGATTTAGAATAGCACATCTGTTGTGACTTCAGCAAAATTCATAGAAGAAGAAAAAACACGCTTGGGAAATAATGGATTTCAGGTTCTTCTCTTCCTTCCATGTCTTAGCCTTTACAGTCAATGTTGTAATAGAGGTAGTGTAGTAACATAACGGAAATCTACGTCATATAGTTATGGCTGCAGCCTTACATAGGCTCATTTACTTCGACCATCTCTATTAATAGTGAGTTTACCAAATATGACGTTGGCAAAATCTTTCAGAGAAAATCAAAATAAGTGAAGCAGATATTTAAACTAGATTTTCTAAGTATATAATTTTCTGGTTAAAATTTAGAGTATCTTTTCAAAATTGGGAGAATATAAAGATAGATTCTTGAAGTTACAAGACTAAAAGACTAAAGAGAATATAAGTTCTTGAAATGAGTTGAATATTACGATACCAATTAGCCATACATTTTTCTTGACTTTAATTGCTCATTTGTAATAGAGGTAGTGTAGTAACATAACGGAAATCTACGTCATATAGTTATGGCTGCAGCCTTACATAGGCTCATTTACTTCGCCCATCTCTATTAATAGTGAGTTTACCAAATATGACGTTGGCAAAATCTTTCAGAGAAAATCAAAATAAGTGAAGCAGATATTTAAACTAGATTTTCTAAGTATATAATTTTCTGGTTAAAATTTAGAGTATCTTTTCAAAATTGGGAGAATATAAAGATAGATTCTTGAAGTTACAAGACTAAAAGACTAAAGAGAATATAAGTTCTTGAAATGAGTTGAATATTACGATACCAATTAGCCATACATTTTTCTTGACTTTAATTGCTCATACATCTTTAAGCTAATACTGTCATTGTTTGGAGCTTCACCGATAGGTTGCGCTAAAAGATAAGGACACTGATGTTTCTAGCTAACAAAGTGGAAAAGAAGACTAAGTTGCAATGTTATTTCAAGTGTTTTATTGAGATTATGCTGTTGTTGTACATTATTGACACATTAGATGTCAAAATATAAATGAACATTGGACATGTACTTTCATTGTGGTATTTTGACGGCAATCAGCAGCAGTTACTTTTTTGTTGTTTCTTTGAAATAATGAGTACTTTCTTTTTTCCCATCTCTCTCTTTTGAAATCGAATGCTCAAAGTCCAAGTACGTTATCCTAAATTGTGGTTTAAATTTCCAATAAGTATAGCATCATTTGTTACGGTAACTATCCGTCTTATATTATCTTTTGCTGGAAAAATCGGGTGATTTTTGTATAGATTTATTATCAATTAACACAATAAAATAACAAATACAATTCAAGAATAAAATAATATAAAATACAGAAGAGATTTAGGAAGCAAATTTTGAGAGTCACGTCGAAAACGTTATCCTAAAATCATGTTGTTTTCCCTTCGTGCGGGTTCTTTCGACACTATATGACTTCAAGATAAAACCTATGTGACTCTCCTTCTATGGGCATGACCACAGGGTCATAGGCGAACGATCCTTTCATTGAGTTGCCAAAATATAGAAATAGTTGTATATATTGTTTATTTTTCAAGTTGTGATTCTAAAAAATACTCATTTTCAATGAGATGTAACCACATTTTATAAGTGAAATTAATCCCCACAATTAAGTCATTAAAATAGAGGTTATAACATGAATTATGATGTTTTAATTGTGTTATAAGTGATTATTAAGTGAATAAAAACAGAAAATTAAATAGGTTAAATGATGAGAGGTTAAAACTTAATTTTAAGTTACAACAATCCCCCACAAGTTTTAAACTTTCAAAATAATTAAAATATATAATAGAGGCAACATAATACTATGCAATAGGTGGATGTGTCTTTTGGACTTGAATCCCACTTAGTGATAACAAATTTCATTTGAGGGGGCCATAATGGACTAAACTTTGAATTAGATCCCTTTCGTCAAACTTCAATTGTTCTACACACAGTATCGATTTAGGCTCAGTTTATAGCGGATAGCGTTGTTAATAGCCATACCCTCAAATCTTGATTCTAGTAAGAGTCTCTATGGAATAGCCCAATCCCATAACCACGGCCTCATAGCAACTCTTACATAAGTTAGTCCTCCAAGGGCATGTGTGACTCACACCTCACGAGAATTTTCATATCGATACTCATCAGGGGTAAATCCTTCTTAGCATCACATTATTATTAGCACTATCACCATAGAGATGAACACAATATAAGTAGTGCTATTACAAATTATGTAGTACTTACTCATCTGCAAAATTTTCTAAAACATTTCAAAATATCAAAGCCACATTTAGAATAATAAGATAAACACATGAAATTTAAAATTGACTTCTAGTCACATGTTTTAACATGTGCATCCATTTAACTCATGTATTTTACCTGCATGTCTCCAATTTCATTTCTAACACTTTT